TGTTTTATTTAAAATAAACTCATCATTCTTTTTAAAAAAATCTTAAAGTTTATTCTTTAAATGATCAAAGGTTGTATACGATAAATCAGTACTTAGACTTAGTTGTCTGGCAGAAAGTAAAGATAATAAAGTAAAGATAATAAATACGACATTCCGACCTAGATTTTTAAAAATTTATTTAAGTGAATCTAACAAGTTCATTCTTAATTTAGTCGTCTTTATTCATAATATTTTAATATATTCGTTCAAGTATGTCACTTAGTTACTTCTATCTCTATATTTAACTATCTATCTCCTATTACATGCATACAGTTTCACTTTATCGATCTATTTACCTACTTATCATTACTTTTTTCTATTAAGATTTCTGTTTACTTTAATCAGTAGTAATTTATTCCTTTTGTTGATCTTATATTTTTTCCACTTGCCTTATTGTTCAATTCATTTAAGGTTGTTTTCTTTTTAGGAAAATCTTGATGTAACTTAAAGATCGTTCATTCAAATATATATATATATATATATATATATATATATATATATATATATATATATATTACATACAGAAAGTTTTTAGTATTTCGATAGGCAAATTTAGTTCTTTTCTGCTATAGTGATTTTTTTGCTAAACTGATGATTTAATTAAGTGCCTATGAACACTTTTGATAAAAAAGTGAGAAAGATAGTTGCAGTGGAAACAGAAAACAAATTCAAACATTAAAAAAAATAATTAATGGTACTATATTTTTTAACAATCTCTATGTGTAATTAGTCAGGATAAGGGGGAATTGAAAAACAAGGTGAATGAAGTAATGTATGAATGTTGGATTGAAGAAAAATCACGTTTCATAGTAAATAGGTTATTTTTTATCTGTCTGATCAGTAAACAAACAACAGGAGGATAATTTGGTGATAAGTACTTATATACTATTTTTGTCATTATTATGTATATTACATATTAGTAGGAATGTATAGAACGAAATAGTGATTTGATTAAAGTAGTGTGAAAAAATTGAGAAAACTTATTATCATAAACGATTGATACACAAAACTTTAGGAAGTATTTTGAATTATCCCGTTGTTGGTATTCTTGACTAATTTTCGATCAGTATTAGTTGGCATACGTGAATCCTATGTGGATTACCTCGATATAGCTATTTATATCATAAATGTTTATCGAATATATGGTTTGTAATCAGAAGGGAAATCCAGGATGCATGTTGCTCCTTGGATTCCACCGCTAGCCGTCATTCATCTATTGAATGATTCGTTTTAAATGAAGATTGATAGTCGTGGCATAAAATCGTCATGAATTTCATTTAAGTATCAATTTCAAATATGTTGATTATCACGATAAACTTTATCATTTGTTGATTGATATTTCTTTCATTTATATAGTGTATCTATTTTTATATTAATTTATAAATTATTATTTAATTGTTTCTATACATATATTCAGTTTGTTAAAAAGGAAGCTACACTAGTTGCATAGAATAAATTATGAATAGATTACTTTTAGGTGCGAAACCATTATCTAACCATTACTATGATTATTCAATTGCATTTTGTTCATACTTTACAATATTTCCATAAGATCAATAACGGTGAAACATTTATATTAGTACTAAATCCGATACCGAAGAAGGTGACTTCCATGGAATGAAAAGTTAATAAATTTATCGTGATTTAATTAACATTAGGAATGAAATGGACAAAAATAACATGACTGGTTGAAACTATTTTAAACCACTAGAACAGTAAACAAAATATATTTCCGTCATAAAAAATCTTTTTTGCGTTATATCATTTAGAATTCCTAATACTGATTTAGATCAATGAATAATTAATTTGATTACTGATATTATTTACTAGTGGAATTACTTCGGACTCTTTTCCCTTCATTGGAACAAAAGCATTTCGAAGTATTGGTTAATTGATGAGAGTATAACTTATGAAAGACCTTCGAGCGATGCTAAAGTGACTCAGAGAATATTCACCGATATGCTAGGGTTGAATGAGGGTTATAAATTAGTATGAGGAATGAAGACTAGGATTTACAGTTGGACCTTAGGGTTAGATATTAGAGTTAAGGTATTCATTACTAACTGACATCAGTTATAATGCCAAAATGCTACTTAGCCATATGGATGGATGAATTTGGCGCCAAAATCCAAGACCTTCCATCTAAAATCTGATTGATTCGTCCATAAATTCTAATCTCTCCAGTTAATTTATAAGAAGCCTTAATTCTTTTTAGCTTCAAGATACGTTACAATTCCGCTGCTGTATCGTGACGATAATATGAAACTACCGTACCAACTCATGATATTCAAGTCATTACTTAAAGATATATCACTTCCTCCTAATACGTCTTTAATACTGTTCATAGGGAAATTATCAAATTGCGAGATATTAATCGCTATTTTATTCAGCTAGCTTATCATCTTATGAGGTAGTAAAACTACAGGGAATTAAACTTTTCGATGAAACAATCAACACCTTTCGAAATGATTTAGTTCTGATAACGGGAAGATTTCCGTCGGAAACGACACAGAAATACATTTACATGCCAGGTTATCTCAACTGAGCTTTCTGCTTTGAAGATTGTGCTTACGAAATCTTGACTATTACCAAGGATAACCTGTAGTACACAAATAGATCGCCTAATAATTCTGTAGAATTGGAAAAAATTACAAATCAAATCGATATTAGCAATATGTGATATTTTTAACCACTAAATCAGTGCTAAAAATAGTAGGGTTATCTGGAAAGGTTTTTCAGTTATAGAAAAAACAGATACTAAGGCGTGTCATATAATAAAAATTCTTTTGCTTTACATAGAAATAAATGTCTGACTATCCATCCAGCTTGTTTATCCACACAACTGGATTTAATGCTACTCATTTTTAACACCATCAATATACATTCATACAAATTCCAACTCCACTTGTTCACATTACAAATTTTACACGTTACACACCAGCATTCGCACAGATAAACACAATTATTCTTTGCACAGGATCATCTGGACCAAAATAGTATGACATTGACATACTGAAACCTATTTTGATTTCAATTAAACTAAATATTCTGTCTTGTTCCTATACACTCTCTTAAAGTGCGTTAATTTATTTACAGTTATTCATTATTTGCTCTGAAGAAGTGATTTAATTCTACTGATTAGAAAGTCATAAGTTTATCATTATTGTCTTATTAATATTCTACTCGATACTGAAATCATTCAAAAACAACCAAACCAAGCCTTGATAATGATATTTAATTTTCACTAACTTGTGTATTATTTCTACTTAAGTTAAAGAGAATCCATAGAAACATAATTCCTGTAAAAGATAAATGTCATTTTTGAACACAGGTGAAGTTAATTTCTATCATGGACTGACATGGATAATATCGGGTTTACTAAGAAAAACAAAAATCCTGAGTTTAAATAAATGGCAGATCGTGCGTGTTCACTGGTGATGAGTTTCAGATGAGAACAAATCATCGGTTCTATTGTCTTCTTTGGCTTTCAAGGACTTACGGATGGTGCCAGTTTGTGATGTGAATGAATAACATTTTTCTACTAAATTTCAATGGCTCCTACTTACCTATCGAACATATGTTCTTCCTCTGGATGACTACATTCTAATGGTGGTGCATCACCAAGCCTACAAATAAAGAAACGCTGAAGAAGTAACTTAAATTCAGACGCAAAACATCAGGAATACAGTTTTCTACCCAGTGGGACATAACAAAATAATCAACGGTAAAAGTCAGTAATAGTATTAGGAATAATAATAATAATGTTAATGGCAGTATCAGTAGTAGACGGGTTCCTGAAAGCTATCCAGTATTTTGTAACATTATAAACTTATCTACTCAGCAGCAAATTTATTTATAAGGCATCTAAAAGACGCATGTTGTATTTACTCAGATAGATAAATATACAAAGTCAGTCATGCACAATGCAGAACCTAGAAAATATGTACATTAGTTCCAGTTTCCGCACCTCATTAGCACGATAAGATTGAATTGTCAAAATAATTCCCAAATAATTACAGGTAATAACAGCATTAGTAGTAGAAAATATTAGGCATTAGAGATTCGATTCTAGAAAAGATTATGGATTAGTGAAATAAAAAAACTTTGATGTAATTTGGAAACTTAGAATTTAAGGGAAAACAATGAGTATTTTCGCTTGAGCTATTGTGAATAACACCAAACGATGTCATCCAAGGCCTCTAACCATTAATAACAACAGTTATGCTAACCCCAATCAGGAGGTCTGCACCTGACTGCATGGCTTAATCCAACAGTCATGGGCCTCATGAGTTCATACCATGTCTTGGTTCGGACGCCCCTAGCTTTCTTCAAACTTACTTTCACATCAGCCAGTTACCCACGATCTTTTTTTACGAAGTTTGTAATTTATTGGCTCCAAACTTTAAAAGACCCTACAGTCCATGGGAAAGGTAAAGTGTACTATTTTTAGGTTCAACCTTTTTTAACTCCTTTCCTCAATTGTAAGAAGGCACCATCGTTGCAGATACTGGTTATCCAGGGGAAACATATTACTGTTGTCATATCTCGGTATATTTAGCTGCACAACTTCGCCCTCATGCCATGAGTCTATTGCCTGGCGTGCTGGGAAAGGAAAATTATGTAACGACCATCGTTATAATTGTTGGAATAATGTAATTAGTGTTCTGATAAGAGGACTATGCATAATGATTCCCATTTTTTAATTTTAAACGATCAACTGGTTTTTTAAAATACAATATTTCTCTAGAAGAAGATTAGCCAGATAACCATTTTGAAAAAACAAATACTAGTATGCAAGTTTAAACTTGGCCAATGAAAGTTTAACTCTTTATTCTCGAAATATCCCTACAGAAAGCGAATATAATGCTAATCTCAAAGTGTCACTGTGTGAGGATACATTAGTAAGAATGTATCAACAGTCTTAAAGAGCTTTATTAACTACACAAAACATCATAACTCACCAGTCAATACGATATCCATCTGAACCAGAATTATGTGAGTACTGCTGCTGGTAATTCTGATCAAAACATTCAGGTTCCGATATGAAATTATTATCTTCGGAATATTGACTATGCCATTGTAAATCATCATCAATATTATTTACATTACGGGAATCAAAACAAATTTGTTCATCATCCCATTCATACTCACCAGTATACTGACGATAAGAATATGGTCTATTTGTATGTGATTTTGGATATGGTCGACTATTATAATACAATGGTTCTGAACCAGAATCTAATTCACTGTCAAACGGCACTTGTTCATGGTGATCATAATGACGAGATGAGACAAAATGGTGATTTTTTAACGTTTCTGATGAATGAGCATCTGAATCGTCAGTTGTAAACTGTCTATGCCTTAATGGTGTTTCTATAAAGAATAAAAATTATAAAAGGCTTTTGAAGGTACAATTATTTACACAATCAACCATCAATCAGTTAATCGAAATGTACAAACACAAATACATAAAAATGCAAAAAGCAGTTAAAATGGAACTTAAATAAAAATTATGCTTTTGGTACAAGGATCTTAAACAATGATTATGAAAGTTTGTAAAGAATGTTTGACAATGATGAAAAGCTTACTGCTATGCAACGAATCCCAAGAATAATTAATTAATCAGATACAGACAAGGAATATTTGTGAAGTTTACACGGTACACGTCACATGAAGACAAAACATATCCATTTGTGTGAATGTTCATTAGATCTGATGTAAACATAAATAACAGCTGTAGTAGTTGACTACTACTGTTCTAAGCAAAAATATCAACATAGAGACTTCCGATCAGTAGCTAACTGGGAAAAGAAATAATTCACTTAGAATATTCAACCACATTTATCTCGAACTACCTGATAAACTAGAACAATTTCTCCAATATTCACATTATTTATCGTCCTAGTGAAACAAACTGTGAAAGGTAATGACCTGCAACTTTATTACTCAATTTTTGAATAAAGCTGGAATAATAGCAGAAACAGAATAACATATTATATATTATATAATAATTTGTTATTATATTTATCATATTGTATTCTAGTTAACTGTCTGAAATACAACTTTTCAGAAACTCTAAATCTTTTCTTATCATGAAAATTCGCAACTTTATTTGAGTATTCATTTATAATATGTGCTCTGCAATAATGCTCACAGTATATTAGATCAAACTGGTATATAAAATACCTCACCAATCGAGTAATTCATCAACATCCCGAAGAATATTTCAAATATCAATTCTTATCACTTCTTGATATCTGCTGGAAGCCAGAGAGCCCTGGATAGATGTTTCTTTCCAAGTTATGTCTTATCAAAAATGCGCATATACAACCTCTAACAAGAGATCTGGCATAATTCTCTCATTCGGCAATCAGTTATTCACAGAATCTACTTGATGAATGAGTATAGGTTCAAGTTCTAGCCTTTAACACCAGCACATTAGGAGAAAGAAGTAATGGGATGGAAAAGAGAGTAGGTAAATGAAAATACATTTAACGGAGAGTTTAAAATGAACAGCGTGTATAAAGTGGATAAATTACTCCAATAGGGATATTATTGTTTCATTTTCTATTTGTTTGACTTCATAAATTGTGTCTTTTGATTGAAATGTTGAAAAATCCACTTAGAAACTAGTCACCGATGATAAGATGGCTATTATTATTAATATTAAGCGGATTGATTTGATGGAGAGATTTTTGTGTAGTTTGAAGTTTGTTCTTACTGGTTCTTAGAGTAAAGTTAATTCGTGATGAATGTTACTCTTTGAAACAGATAAACATCTCCATCAAACTATTTCAGTATAATTCTATCGGTCATATTTATTTATACACAAATAAAAATACTTTCAACATACAAATATAATAACCAGTGTTAAACAGATAAAAATTACACTAACCATTTAAATAATCTGGATGATTCATTGAATACCCATAATGGTTAGAACTTAAATGATTAGTTGATTTAGATTGACGAGAATTCGGTCGTATATAAACTTCATTTAAATTATTAGATAGTCGATTTTCTGAATCACTTAATGCACAATATGGTGTAAATAATTTTTCACGTTGTTCTAAATGTTGATTTGCATGAATGTTAATTATATGACCAGAAAATCCATTCATTACATTTTGATTAACATTTAAACGATGTAAAGTACCATTTGTTGAAGTAATATTTGGTAATTTTCTTTTCGTAAATAATATTTTTTCAAGTGGTGAATCTGTTTGAATTAAGTTATTTGTTAAAAGTTGAGGAGAAATTATTAGACTAAATTAAACTATTCAAAGATTATTTTAATATCAAAAATTCTTCTTAGAGAGCTATACTTGACAATATTCATTTAGATGATATGACAGTGAATATTATTAATTCTAAGATTTTAAAATTGATTGGAAACTATTTTTACTTTAGAAATTGATTTACTGTACAATGTGATACATAGGTTACTTGAGTATTCAGTACAACTATTGTCTTACAAAACTTATCTTAATATTGTGAAACAAATATGATTTTTTTCATATCGAATTGATGTCTGTATTACATAATATGCAAAATCATAAATAATCTGGTAATACTAATAAACATTTTAAAGAGTACAAACGAATAAGTTAGTAATTTTCTTTTGAAGAGACTATACTCAATTAATTAATATTTGTAACGGTTACACATCTAAGCTAACATGGAATATACGAATCTCTGTTTTCTAACATTATAGTTACCTTACCAAATTATTGACATATTATCAGTATGGAAATTTGTGGGGATAATAGTATTTTAACGGTTGAATTCACGAGTCAATCTAAGCTAGAACACCACTAAAAGTCTGGAAGCACTAGATGGCCGTTTCATCCTAGTATGGGACTACTCATCAGTGCGCTTCTACAATCCCGTACGCAGAACTCGAAACCAGGACCTTCAGTCTCACGCGCGAACGCTTAACCTCCAGACCACTGAGTCGACATCGTTGGAGCTGAGAATTCCAATACTAGGACGAAATGGCCATTCAGTGCTTGAAGGTTTTCAGTAGTGGTCTAGCTTAGATCAACTCGTGAATTCAACTAGTAACATTGTTTTGACAAGCAGTAAAAACGATTAAGGAGAATGCTCCCAGAAAATTTCCTTGATAAGTTTAGTTATTTAGCATCATTTATTTATTCAAATAAATGTGAACAACAAGACGTATAAATGTTTCACATAAAGTAAAAAAGGTCATGAAAAAGTGGAAAACTAGAAACTACAGTATAATAATAGTGAATCTGCTAGAAAAACAAGAAGTTGGATGACAATAAACCAATAGAGATTTCCTTCCTTGTTAATTTATATTTTATTGTTTGTCCAAAAAAAATTGTAGCAGAATCAAATGTGACTTGAATTTTAAGCAAACTCAGATCCTTATAAAACTCGTGATCATAATTGGGGAATTTTGAAGGATTGGCAAATGTTAATTAAATGCAACTAACTGCAGCTTGACGATAGTATGTGATGAACGAGTCTCGTTCTGGCTGTTTCACCAGTCTCAACATCGGCAGACTGTATGACACAAAAGGTTCTATGATACTTACAGTGAAAGCTGTCAAAATTATCAGTAAGAGGTTACAGAATATTAGTTTCAATCATTTACAAACACAGAAAATAAGTAACTACTCACATTTCTTAAATAAACATATTACTTACGGCTGAATATTCTTGAGATATATTATGTACATCTTACTAGTTCAAATAAGATATATACTCTCTACTGAATACTAGTATCGCTTTCCTTGAAGCTTTCAGTCAACACAAATTCATTAAAATAGTAACGTTGTTTCCATTAAGCTTGGGAATTATGGTGAACACTATCTTTTCTAGTAACTGTTATCTATTTGGGAAGTTTTTATATCTCCCCCATTGTAATGCACTCGAGAAATAACATGAATAGAGGTATTCCAGTATTTATATAATTGTTCCATTTTCGAACACAGAACTGATAATAAACTTGAACTAACAAATGATGCGAAAGTAAAATTTCCCATTATATATTCTTTAGTAACTTGATCTTTAATATAAATTGGTTACTGAAAAACCACAAGATTTATATTCCTGTTTTTTTGTGAAGTCAACACTTCCGTAACTTATTAAGTAATATGATATCCAAAACCAAATTTATAAGGTGAGATGAACAGTATTAAAAGTAAAAATTAAGAATCTTCTTAAACTTACCATCAGGTATTTCAAATCTTACAGTAGCTAGACATGAGTGTTTAGTAGCTGTCTTTGTGCCAATTATTTGTCCATTCTCAGTGATGACTTCGGAATCAAAATTCACCCACATTCCCGGACCATCCTTTGAAATAAATATAAATTAGTAAATCGGCAAATTTTCACCAATATATTTATCATAAAACATTTGGTTATAATAAGTTACATTGTATGGATGACGTTAATTCACACAAACATACACTGTTATTGATGTCTTAGTTTAAGCAAATACATTTACTGTTTATATTTCATTGTTCAGAATCAGGCTATTTTGAATGATGTTATCATAATGCAGAGTTGTTACAGTGTATCTCATTGTCTGTAATGATGCTACACAAGATGATTCAGTTTTCAAAGGATCACTTTGTGACTTTTCTTAACTATGAGATTGAAAATTGAAATAAACAGTTACATGTAAAACATCAAATCCCAAGAACAATTGGTCTCTTTTCGCTTATCTACTATTACTATTCTAGATGTTTTTATGCTGACTCAATCTGTTTATTTTCAATAAGATGAATTATTACTATCAATCAAATTAGATTTCTCAGAATGCTATACCAGAAAAACAACTACATCAAATAAGTTTCACTATATCAAAAAGGGGAATTATACTGAATGCTATTTGAAAAATAAATCTTCAAGTGGATATGACATACATATGTTTCAAAATAGCAAGACAGCAGTCAATCTATATAAAAATAGTAGAACCATCCAACATGAAAATAACCATGAAAAAATAACTGACTACAGGTACACCTTACTGACGAGTGCCGAATAGCACAAAATCTAGGTCCACAGTTTCCTGTCGACTACCTCCAACCACCATCTCATCTCAACATAATGCACACAAAATCGAGTCACTTAGACTAGAGGCCACATTGCAACTTAGCCGACAGAATTCAATCTTCACTAAGAATGATTTGACACACATGACACCGGTCACTACCCAGTGATTAATCAATCGTAAATCCCTGATAACGCTTTCAGTGTTTTATGAAATATCAGTAGATATTAATAAACTTGTTAAGCACTTTTTAATAACCAAACACATCAAATGACAACGGAAGCTGTATATGGACTGATGACATAACTCAGTTTTATGTAGAATTGTGAAGACAATAATACTGAACTAGCAGTTCAATGCTAAAACTAAAAAAATTCGACCAAAAATCGATGGAAATTTAGAAACTAATTCTAGCATCAGTGGATCGATAGATTAAAATCTACCATCCTGTTTATTAAAATATTTTTCTATGGATTTTTGTTGGAGATGCATAAGATGCATTGATTATTTGAATGTAAAACATGTCCGAGATAATATACTTATGCAATAAATCAGGATAATTATGTAAGTAACCAGAATATACCCAGTGAGACATAAAATAAGAAGGATTGAATCAGCGAAGAGTTGTCTTTTCATCGAATTAATTATTAAAGATTTAGAGTCTTCACAGGAGGACGTTATGGAAACTTCTTCGACACTACGGAGTTCCTGAGAAGATTGTCAACATTATTCGAAACCCATATGACGGACTACAGTGCAAAGTAGTGAATGGAGGACAGCTGACAGATGCATTCCAAGTAAGGACCGGAGTCAGATAAGGCTGTCTACTTTCTCCCTTCCTCTTTCTTTTGGTAGTCGACTGGATTATCAAGACCTCGACATCTGAGGGAAAACACAGAATACAATGGACAGCTCAGAACCAGTTAGACGATTTCGGCTTCGCAGATGACCTACACCTTCTATCGCATACACACGAACAAATACAGATAAAGACAGCCATTGTAGCAGCAACCTCTGCATCAGTAGGACTCAGCATACACAAGAGGAAAACCAAGGTCCTCAAATACAACACGGAGAACACCAATTCAATCACACTAGACGGCGAAACTCTGGAAGATGTAGAATCCTTCACATACTTGGGAAGCATCATTGATGAACAAGGAGGTTCAGATGTAGACGTAAAGGTGAGGATTGGCAAAGCAACAGCCACACTTCTACAATTGAAGAACATATGGAACTCAAAACAACTTTCAACCAATATCAAAGTCAGAATCGCCAATACGAACGTCAAGGCAGTTCTACTGTACGGAGATGAAACTTGAAGAACTACTACAACCATCATCAAACATGTACAAGTATTTATAAATGGCTGTCTACGCAAGATACTCAACACCCATTGGCCGGATACCATCAACAGCAGCCTTTTGTGGAAGAGAACAAACCAGCTTCCAGCTGAAGAGGAAATTAGGAAAAGACGATGGAAATGGACAGGACATACATTACTCAAATCATCAAACTGCATCACGAGGCAAGCCCTAACTTGGAACCCTGAAGGGAAGCGGAAAAGAGGAAGGCCAAAGAACACATTACATCGTGAAATAGAATCAGATATAAAAAGGATGAATAACAACTGGAAAGAGCTGGAAAGGATTGCCCAGGACAGAATTGGATGGAGAATGCTGGTGAGCGGCTTATGCTGCTTCATGAGGAGTAACAGGCGTAAGTAACTTTAAATTGATAATGGGAATGTTTACATGAACGATGAAATAATAATAATAGTAACAATAGATAAATAAATAAGAATTATTTTTGTTACATGTTTTTCTGAATGAAAATTTATTGTCTGAATAGTACAAAATTAATTTAATGTGTTTTTTTCTGTCTAATCTCATTTCCTTCATCTTTCACTTTATCATTCTCACTATTGATGTCTGTTTATTTCATTCACGTATACATTTATACATACAGAAATATACTACGTATGAGAGAGAATATTCAACTAATAAATATTGACTATTAAGGGATTTATTAGTCATAATAAATTATCAATTATATTCTAGACTTTTCGAGTATATTTTGGCACTTGAATAAGGATACATATATATAATGGCATATTTTTCAAGCTTTGTAAAGTTGTTGATTTATGAGTAACGGAAACTGGTCTTGTATTTTATCGTTTATTTGTTGTTTTTATTTAACGTTTTAGTCTATGCTTAAAAAACAAATACGTGTAGTTGATCATGTAAAATTTGAATGAAATAAATTAAACTTTTTTCCCCAACAATTCTGTTTTGTTATTGTGACTGAAATAAAAAATAAATAATGAAATTTCGGATCCCTATAAGGGAAACTAATAGGAATATGATAAATAACTTTAAATGACCTATTTCTGTCTACTACATGACCGCTATCGATCAAGTGGGATAGAATCGATTTGCGTGTTGTCTTGACAGTACGTCCGTTCGTAATTAGGAAAAGGTACTGTCAAGACAATACGCTACTCGATTCTATCCCACTTAATCGATAGCGGTCATGTAGTAGACAAAAATAGGTCATTTAAAGTTATTTATCGAATTTCTACTAGTCTTCCTTATGAGGTTCAATCTCGTCCCTTACACATAGCAGAAACTATAGGAATTCAAGCTAACGACACAAGTCTTTGTGTTCATAAGAAATTTGTAACACCTTTATTTCGTCCTTGGCCTTAATAAGTGATTTTATTTATTATTATTTTCCATACTGTTCGTTTATTTTTCTTCACCTTTCCCACCCCTTTTTTTCTCAAATATACGCTTCACAGTTCAATTATCTGAAGATTTCTTATTACGCAACCTTATAATCTTTTTATAAATGTTATTTCATTGTCTGTATTTTTTCTAATCCTTGACCTATTTCCGATTATGTAACGCTGATTCAAGCCTTTATTATTCTTTCACATCTAGTACACTTGTCATCACACTACCAATTTGTACTTATTATATTTATTTATGTAATCTGTTCCACTGTTATCATTGACTCATAAACTGCCTTGATTTGTTTAATAATTTCGTATATAAATATTAACATTACTGTATATCAGAGTAAAGCCTGATGAGGATCTAACCGAAAACAATATTATCGAAATTGCTTCTAGAAATTTTAAAAAGTACAATGTCATTTATGAACAGTTAAAAATTATTCATCGATTCTTGAATTATTGCTTTCTAGTAAGGATTTAGATATTAAAAACGAATTGAATGAAGTAGCTGACACTTCAGCTGTTACCACTTTATCGATGTATTGACCATTTATACGTTAAAACACAACTGTTGTCATGTAACAAACAAACTTTAACTTATGTAATCATACACTTTACCGCATAAATCTTCAGCTATTTCTGATGACATATTAAAAACATAAAGACAAAATGTTCACCTCAAAACTAGCGGAACATAAGTTCGATGCCGTATAGAAAGGCAGGTCAATGCTGTGACGTCCGGAACTAAAACAGAACAGATATTAAGCACTTCCTTCAGTTGACTTCAATTCATGATGAAATTACTTCCAATATATTCGCTTATAAGTTTGAATTATGTTACACAATGATCTTTGAACAACACACACTAAATAATATTATACGTTATTATCTTTGTTTTCGTTTCTAGAAATGTGATTGTTGAGGCACTTTAGTTTTTAATTATAAACATTTAGGAATATTGTATAAACCTAGACTCAACAAATATCATGTGTTCGTTGATTAACTTTTTTATAGTTATATAGCGATGGACGAGCAAATCGCAGATTAAATGATAGCTTTTAGGAATACAAGACTAAAGAATTTTTCATTAAAAATATTTCAACCAGAAGTATATGCTAAATGTCTAAAATTAGAACACTGTTCTGATGATTATCCGAAAATGTACTCGTCAAATATCTAATATTTTGACTGGCATATAATATATTACAAAAAGTTTTCACAGGACGGTAGATATTTTCTCTACTGATCTGTGAGTAAAATCAGTAAAACTATAATACAACAATTGTCAGCCCATTATATTATCAGTCAGCCTGTAAGTGCACTTTCATTAACATAAATTTCGGTAGAATTATGTTATAATGGTGACCTTGAGTTCCTCTCAACATTTACTCATTTATCAGGCAATCTGAGTTTGCATGACACATATAAATAAGCTAATATAGAAAGACCAAGTATATATATATATATATATATATATATATATATATATATATATATATATATATATTTCACATTATTGGTAAACATATTTGGGTTCATCAGAGGCTCATCAATATTAAAATCAACGTGAGTGGGACAAAAGTGTTCAGCCTTTAGGAGGCCAAAGATAGTCTCTTAATCGTGATTCTAACTTTTTAAAATTATAAATGGAAAGATCAATTGAAAGGTCGAAGAATTGACACTCATGAGTGATAACGTGATTATTTCAAGGGTATCTTTAAAGACGCAGATACACTGACCAGTCATCCAAATAAATCGGTTCCACGCTCATCACATAAATATGGAGTTTCTCCATTTCAATTGGTTCATAATACAGAGCGACTTTGAAAGACCTCAGAAACACCCTTAAATATGTATCAAATCCACCTTTTACACTATATTACACTTACTATAGGGATGGGTAAAATATTTGTATGCCAGACCTAAGAGTTTGCCAGTATATTTTAATTTAACCCAAATATTTTACTGATTATGAGGTCTAGATAAGTGGAAAATTGTGTGAAACGAATTATGACAAGAAAACTTTCTATCTACCTCAATGAAACTGAGAGATAATCAAAAAAGTCTGCAATGTATGGTCCAAGAGTGAATACAATTAACGTATCATTTACAATTGGGCTATTTTTAAAATCTATAATGCTATATTAGTTAACTGGCAGGATCGGCAAAGCAAGAGCCGCATTCCTACAATTGAAGAACAACTAAAGAACAAAGGTACAAATGTTTGTACACAGTTGTCTACGCAAGATACTCAATATCCGTTGGCCAGATACCATAAGCAACATCCTACTGTGGGAAACGACAAACCAGCTTACAGATGAAGAGGAAATTTGTAAAAGACGTTGTAAATGGATAGGATATACATTACGTAAATCACCAAACTGAATCACGAGGCAAGTGATAACTTGGAATCGTGGAAGGCCAGAGAACACTAAGTCGGGAACTTGAAGCAGATATGAAAAGGATCAATAGCACTTGGAAAGAACTGAGAAAGATTGCCCATGACAGAGTTAGATGGATGCTACTCTACGAAGGGCAACAGGTGTAAGTAAGTAAGTTAACCGCAACGATTTGATCGTATTCAAAAGTAAAGAATTTGTTAAATTATACTCATCAACATAAGTTAAGAAAAGAGATAAAGTTTGGCAATTAACAGTAATATACAAAAAAACCCACTTAAATTGACTTATCATATTAGATCGTTACGCTGGATATGGAAAGATCCCAGATAGATATGTTTTATAACTAATAAATATTTAGACAGCTAAAATTGACATGGTTGATCTGATAATGACTGCCAACAAAATACTTAAAAGTTCTTTAACAACAACTTCGGCTTATAAATAACACTTTCTGTAACGAAATAAGAAACGCTAAAGAGTCGTATTAATTTAAGTAGACTGCTAACATATTTAGCAGACCATTGAAATTAGTAAAAACATTCGCAAACAGATTAACAATAAGTAAATTTAATAATGTGAAACATAGAATAGAGCAAACCTTATTAGAATGTAGTATTTTGTTTAAGGGTAACCAAACAACTCCTAACAGCTTATCTTTTAATAAACCTTTCGAATGCAGTTCAATCAGGAGGCCGCCATCCATACGTTCCGTTTCGCTAAATAAATAAACAAAAAAAACTTCAGATTAAGGAACAAACTGAAAATATAAGCATAGATACATATTATTTGATAAATTAAACTACCTTACTCTTAATTATCATCATGATTCCGTTATTATATGCTTAATTTGACTTTCTTGCGGTAACCATGAACTATATACTAACGATAGTCGGTGACAATTTTTCTCATTGCTACCATACTCGTCAATAAACTATTAACAAAAATAAACACTGAATGATAGTTATACTTATGTCAAGGTTATAAGATAATATTGCAAAAATAATTTTGTTATAAAATTGATATCACTTGGGGAATTGATCAAAACAAGAGAGCAGTAAATAGTCATTTCGTCTGTGACTTAACAAATTCAGAAGTACATATGCACAATAATATACATGATTGAACTCCAACTTTTAGTTTTTGCAGTGAGTTTAGTGCACTTATACAACTAGTCTATATTCTTAGTCATAGTCAATGTGATATAAAGCGATCTTTATGGGATACTACCACCTAGTTATTGTTTCACCCCTGACCTATTAAAATTCACATGTCACCTTTCCTACTGGAACTACATGAAATCCGTCTCAAAGCTAGTCACTAGTGGGTACACGCCTGAACTTATCAATAAAATCACTTATTATAAAGACACAATACACTTGGTTTTTTCGACAGCAACGCTATTTATAACATTTTTTATGCTAAAAAGCGGTTTACAAACATTTTAGATAGCCAGCTTGAATCACCAACATTATAGACATGAATCTATGAACTTTCTTAAAGATTTGAAAATAAGTTATACTTATCTGACTTTTGGTAAAAAGCTGTTAAATAACTAGTCATGTTTAAGGACTAGTAAAAGGTGGAATACTACTTTACTCCACATGAATAAAAAACAAACGATCAATTAAACTACTGCAATGAATAACTTAGCAATTAATCACATTTAAAATGTTTTCTTTTCCATCCACAGGATATAACATATATGTTTACAAGACGCTATGAAATTCACAGAGTACTCATCCATTGTTTTCAATAAACTATTTATATCATAACAGATATATTTCTTCTATAATTATTAAGAAAAATAGAATAACTTGTCCATTAGTCCCACGTATATGAATGAGATACAGTTCAGTGATTTCTAATAGTTATATATATATAATCTTTCGCTCAGTTACCCAGAATAAAAGTCATTCGGTTGAGTATGAAATTCATTAACTTAAGGCTAACGCATTGTAGCCAACTTCCCAACTAACTTTGTGTTCTGCAATTCATTTCCCGTAGGAAAAACGAGAAGTCGATTATATTTACTTGCCTTATTTTGCATTAAATGATTCGGTTACTTGTATGAATAGGGGGAGATACGTTTTCTATGGATATTCTCAAAAGCTTAGGATAAGTGATCAACAGGTTTTCAGATAGAATGAAATGAATGACTTAAAAAGTCACCACAATATAGTTATTCCGACTACACCAGTGACTACGTTTAGCCATCTCGACCTCCTAGGACATTTTTGCCTTGAAATATACTGGAGAATAGGCGACTTAGTTGTTGTAATCAGAACTTAGCACAGTTTTTCGTACTGTATATTATCCATAAAGATAATTAGCTCTAAATGAGCAGTGAATCTAATCGACACTAAAATATCAACTGGTGCATAGTGAATCTGGTTTGTTATTTGACATTTCAGTAGTCAGTTTAGAACGGATAACTAGTCATACAAACTCAGCTGATTAATCCATGAAAATGAATAGTGGAAACTTACAATATAAATTCTTCGTTCCATTTTGGTGCAGTTCCTTTTACTGATTGAGTTGAGGAATGTGCTTGTCTTAATTTAACGCTAATATAAGTATTTAGCGATGAATCTGAACTTTCTAAACGTGCTTCAATAACTATAACAAATTTCAAAACCAGTAATAACAATAAATTTTGTGAAAATTCATATAAATATATCATATCATTCTAAAAATCATTATTACTGACTACATTTCCTTCTATAGAGAATTATTGTCTTTACTTTAGCATAAGGCCAGTATGTCAAATCGTAAGGAAACGTGAATTAAACAATTTTTGAATAAGGAATTAACCTGCATAGGATGATAACAACATAAATATACCATTCAAGAGCTTATTTACCATTGTACTCAAATCACTACAATGCCAATAAACCTACTGCAGATCACAAAAGTCCAAACCCACTGCATTTGTAGAATCACCGAATTCTTCATGTGTGACTTAAACGTTTTTAAATCTAATCACTTAGGGACAAAACGTGTAGCCCATTGAACACATTTTATTAAAGAAGTGTTACAAAAAAATTAGAAAACTTAATTTTTTGAAGCATAGTAAGTTTTTTATCTACATCAGCATGAATAACGACAGTTCTGTTTTTGTTGGCAGGATATGTTTTTTATCAATTTATCAGAGTTGTGGATGTCTGCAATTTTAATAAAAATTATCAACCTTATATAACAAGGTCGATTATAAGCAAGTTTTAAAACCAATATACTGATTTAGATAGGCCAACATCTCTACAATCACAAATTTTTAAAACCTGTAAGTTTGCATAACCACTAGATACCATGAATCCCATTTAACAAACAGAAATTTGTTTACAGACGTTTTTCAGAAAAGCAATGTATATCCAAAAATACACAATTACTAAGCGAATTGGTAGTAAACTTGGACAGATTAGTATGGATTTTTATTCAGAGACTTTTTGAGCGAAAAATGCAATTTTAGACATGATAAAATTTTCTGAACTTAATATTAAATGCTACGGTTAAAAAAGCTTAAGAATAAAGCGTTCAAAAAGGAGTCTACAACCGTTGGCTTCAAAAATCGAAGATACATAATCCTTGTCTATACTTAGTTGCTACTTACTAGCTAACTGTGATGAACAGGTAAAAACTGATGAGCAACAACTGCTTTATAAATGCTACTTGGTATTTTACTAACGACAATTTATTATGAAATTATATATATATATGTTCATCTTCGTTAAAACTAATTCAAAACTGCACTCGCAATTTATTATGGAAGAAATGTCTCCAAAAGGTGAATGAAACTTTTAGCAACAGAATTGTGCGATAGGTTCATAATCTAAGCTTATATTTGTCCGATTGAAAAGTAAAGTATTCTTACCCATGGATATAACCAGTTGTAAGATCAACATTTAAACGTTTTGTGCTACTTAAAGTCAAATAGATGGTGTGATTATTACAAACGGTACTTAAGATTCACTTTCCATAGCTGCCAACTCTATATGATGTCATTAACAACAATATTCTTTATTTACTTTATCAAACACTACATTCATTTGATATACCAAACTTTTTCAAACGAAATCAAAATGTTGGTTTATTTATTATACTGGCGTCTAAATACATGCATCTTAAAGAACTAAAGGCAATGGAGTTAGAAGTTCCGTTATCTACTTAGATCAAATTACTCTACCATTCAATGTTGGGAAGTGGGCAGAATACGAAACTAAATTAACCAATGACACTTTTGTATCAACATAAAGGGTGAAAATATACATGTATATCATACATAACTGTGACTGGCTAAGACATAATCTTTTGCCCTCAGGAAATTCTTTTCATGTGGTTGAAAGTAAAATGATATGTGAAGAAAAACATGCCAAAAACTTGTTACTTAAGTTCGTTATGCTTTATAACAGCACTGAAATCGTAGCCAATGAAACCGTGAGGATTCACATTGTAGAAGAAAGAAATAATAATCATTGGTTGGTCGGTTGTCTTCAATAAAGTTTCTATCACATGTGTGCGATGGCGAAAGTTGTCATTTTATATGGGCGCAACAAGATAAAGCTAACAATATGAATATAAGAGAGGATCAAAGTAATCGAGTAGCGAATTCAACAAGAAATTGTAGGGTTTGGGAACAAAGGTATAAATGAGAGAGAACTGGAGCTTAAGGTTTAGAAAAGACAGGGGATGAGTGCCCTCTGAGCCATATCACCCAAAACATCTAAACACAAGTTTCTGTTTCCATCTAGATCTTAATCGATAATGTTTTGAAGCTACCTATTGTTAAACTCCTGTTGCCCATCTATATACACTATGCACAAGTGGTAAAGGCCAACACCAACATAGAGAAATACAGTTATTTGGAATACATGATAAACATTTTGTAGATATGAAAAACTGGATTAATTAAAATAAAAATAGATTTGCTCAAAAGTTTTGATCAGGAATAAAGTATAGGCTTTTAGAAAGCCGGAAAACCTTCAAAGAAAAAGTTTGGAAGGTTTTGATAAACCCTTAAACGAAAGAAATCACTTATCGGATATCGAGTAATTATTGTGGCAAATTGGTCGAACAAAATATTGAAGACTGGTGAACACTTAGTTACATACAACCCTTTTTGTGATGTAGTTGATACCAAGTTAACCAATATGTTATATAAACATGTTAGAAAGATCACCTATATCTATATCATTAAAACATCAAACTATAAAGTTTGTGCTTTTCGTGAAACTTCGTCCACCAGATGGGTTTGCCTTGGATGCTGGACCGATTAATAACGTTAAACTAGAAACAACTGGCTGAAGCATTATGGGTATACCTAACATATTTTTACTAGTTTTACCCCTAGATAGTGCAATTTCAACTTCAAAATGTGTCAACAGACTTTCTCAACGTGATAAGCTTTCACAGGCACATCATCAAATATCAAGTTACTACTGAATTTCTCTAAACAATTTGCCTAATAATTTGAATTTATCAAGTGATGAGTTATGATGAAAAAAAATAACACAAAGCAAATCTGATTAACACTTTGACGCATGAAAGTTGCAAATCAATTATTCACTAGAACTGTTTAAAGATCACAGTATAAATAAGAGCAACTATGACTAATGGTATGCTTGTAACAACTCAGATATAATGCTAATCTACAGAGTAACTTGCATCAAGCATTTGGCAGACTTCGTGACGCGTTTTGAAGACTGCAACTGAACATCCTAAATAAACATCTCGTAAATTGAACATGAAATGTTTTGAGTATTAACATGTATAAGAATAATTTATAACGGTACAAGAGGTTGTTTTGAACTTAAATACAACAGAAAATTGTTGCAGTGATAATCAAACCCTCAAAATATCTAAGTTCATTTTAAAAGACCTTGATTGCTGCCTAAGTACCTATCATAACATACTGAGAAATGAAGTAAATGTCCTAACAAAATGAAAGTTTTGGAAGAAATAACTCTAGGGATTAATGAACAACAGGTAATTTGCGCACACACTCCGAGTTGAACGATAAATTCACCACGATTAAAAATTCTACGGCGCAAAAGTACCACGACGAAATCAATCTAAATTTCTGATAGATATGACTAGATTATGACAGTGTACGATGGGAAAACGTTAACTACGACATACTCGTTTAAAGTTGAACCTTTTCATCAGCCAAGAAAATTGATTGCTGATGAAAAAACATTTATTTTCATCCATAATGTAAACTTAAGTCAACTGATAACGATGATAATATAAACGATAGTCTGTACTTCTATCTGGTATCATCCATTTCGATTAAAATAAAACACACTTTAAAGATGTGGTTTATTGGCATCCATATACTTGAGAAACTTACTTTTAATGCAAAGAAGCGGCATAACTCGATATTAAAAACTCCACCATCCCGCTGAAGCAAAATGACCTAGCCTCTGTTACAACCTTAGTAGTTCATATAAATGAAAGATTAAAACAAACATGTGCTAATGCAAAAACGTAGAAAACGAAAATGGCTAAAAATTGAATTTTTAATGTAGACGATTTACATCCAGTAGGACACGAACTTAATTACATCGAGTGTATGGCGTCCATTATTTCGTGGTAATATTATTGTAAATGTGTTTCTGGTGTATATCACTGACGTGATGACTGTAATGGCTTAGCTTCGTTAATCAATCACCTTGATAACCATTTTTATATAAATCTCAACGATGTTTGAAATCAGAAGGGAATAAGAAGCGGAGACCATAGCTTATCATTGGATTGCAAAGATAACAAATTTATAAACACATTTAGCGAATTCAAAGATGAGGGGCTAATATGTGTATTCGAGCAAATACAGAGGAGAATTTGTAGTCAGATCAAATAAGGCACAGCTAGGTGAGGTAAAGAGTAATAATAGGATTCAAGTACATATGTACATGGCAAAGAGAATGACTCATCGAACCATATTTATAATAATAACATTTTAGCTAGAGAGATACATGTGTATAGGCTATCATGAGATCAAGCGTACACGTCTATACAGACAAGATAGTGGCCATAATAGTTCAAAGAAACATGCGAATTGTTACTGTTCTAACAACATTGACTGTTGAGTTAATAGAAGGGCTTAACCAAAATTAACCGCAATCGAAAATGATTGTGGGAGAGTTGTTATATGAAAAACGTTCGCTATCCCAACGACACTAGCTCAGAAGTAAGGTTCTTTGCTCTACTTCTCACAATCATCCACAAGAACCGGTTTTCAACTTACAGGCGGCCATTATAAAGGCAATTGCTGCACAAGATAACCTATGTGCTTATATGTGCGAGTGTTTACTCAAACCCATTTGTTGGATTTTCATTGTTCCTACAACACCATAATCTAATCATGGACGTGAGATAGTGAATTTTATTAAATGGATATACCAAATTATGTTTGTGTAACTTCTTTTTCTGGCTTTAAGTTATCCCCAGTTGCTTTTGAGCACGTAAACGATTCACCTTTTCAATGGATACACGACAAATACGCCAAACTGTATAAAACGCGACGGAAGTTGCCGTGCATAACTAGCAATTTCATGCACTAAGTCACGTCTATAGGACCACCTGTATTTTCGAAAGCGTGTCGACTAGCTCTCAAAAAGCTAAGGTTGGCCAAAAACGATTTGGTAACATGATAGACTCGGGAACTGCTTGGCCACCGAACAGTGCGTGAGCATCTCCCTTGCACATGACTCATATAGTGGACAGCGACGACTGGCGTACAACTGGTGGTTATCGGTGACTCAATGATAAAACCACTCCCGACCGTTAATCACTGCCACACATTTACGACCTGACAGTCACCTCAAAATGCGAACTGTTATCTCGAAAGTTGATCTGGTTTGAGCACATAGCCAAGACGACAATCCTAAAACCTCCGCCATCAGCGCTTTTGGCCTCTACGGATTTCTGCGCATGCATTTTGGTTTAATAAATGCTGTGCAAACCTGCTAGAGATTCATCGATAACTTATCCTTGTGTCTCGAATTCGTGCATGAGTATGTCGATGACAGCTTAGTCACAGTATACTGACAGGGAGCTTCATCTCCATCATCTGAACCTTGCTTTCGAACGGCATTACAGTATACCTCTGGAAGTGACAGGTCGAAACCGACTCCCTAGACTTTCAAGAGCATACTGCTGACACTCTAGATATTCACCCTCTTCACAGCTTAGTAGCGGCATTTTTGGCAAACCTGGAACCCACCACGAGACGGTCGCGAGACAGTGAATCGAGGTGTGAAACTTTCGTCAGAGAACTTTTAGCCATGTGTTGTGCTTTGTGGCACTTTCCACATTCTGTCGATGACCGAGAATCAACTCTGTTTACCAACCACAAACAACTCACCTTCCATCTAAGCTCATCTTCACAAGTACTTTCATCGAGAATCTTGAAAATTGGACCACGTCTAGTAATTTACTTCGGATAGGTGATATATTTCTGAGGCAAACAATGTAGTTGGAGAAGCCCTATCTCGTATAACCTCCTTCACCTGACTAAACTTACCCAGCCTCAAAAAGCAGACACCGGTGATCAGCACGAGTTATCCTCAAAAACCCTGAAACTATAGATTAAACCGGCGGGAACAAGTGAGAAACTGTCTGTGTGACACACACATGTAGGAATCACTCAATCGTGCCGAAATATTATCGATAAAACATCTTAAATACGTTGTTTGAACAACCATCAAGCTCATCACAGAACGGTCTTGTTGACTTGGTGTGAATAAAAATATGAGGGAGTGGGAAAGTTCATGTGTAAAGTGCCAGAAATCCAAGGTGATTAGACATTATTAATGTCCCTTGGACATCTTTATAACGCCTGAGGTCCTTTTCAACGATGTTCATCTTGATTTGGTGGGACTCATGCCAGATTCGAATAAACACACTCACCTCCTTACGTGTGTGAACCACTTCATGCGGTGAAAAAAATAGTACCTTTTAATATTAATATTCACAAACAGCATATGGGCAAACAAGTGTTGTAGATAAACTGTTTTGGATTTCTTCAGAAATTCAACAATATACATGGCTCGATAATTTTAGCATAATTTTTGTCATATTAAAAAAAGGTTCTATGTTTTTGATGCGGTTTTGTCTCTGAGCTGGATGATAAGGTCGTGGAGCTTTCATCGATCTTCCGAACGACATCATCAGCACAAACTTCAGATAGAAGTGAAGTGTTCGAATTTCTCCATATGTGTTTAACAGTTTGTCCTGTACACCTCGATGTTGACTGGTTCTTATTGACCTTAAATTTGTCATTGTTTACTTCTTTGTTTTGGTTGTCTCACATTGATTTGATTTTTGTTCCTATATTTGTGCATAATTTTCCTGATTGGTTGATAAACTGGATCGATTTCGATGTGCTTGTTGAGTGCTGATTGACCTGAGTGACAGGCTTCTAAAAGTTCTCTAGTGTTCTTGGAATTTCCTTTGTCTACCTCTATCCACCTCTCCACTATCTCAAAAGTTCTAAGTGATTGAGAAGAATATTGAGTAAAATTTAAGTACGGGAAGGGAGAAAATAAGGAAATAGAAATGAGGGAAACTTGAACTACGTAAATAGTTTGATAAGCGTGCTTATATTTACAGAACAAGAATAAACCACTATGTATGTATCGCTAGATGAAAAACAAAAGAAAAGAAGAAAAGGGTGAAAATAAATAACTTAGAAAATAACTTATCATTGAAGTAATATATGACGGTGAAATAAGTGTTTATGTGGTAATACTTTGGAGTGATGCTATGAAAGTAGCAACTAATTGCAGTGAATTATAAAATATCAATATGTATGGATCATACTTAGATTCAGATTCCGATTTGTGTAGTAAAAACAGAAGGCCTACGGCCTATGTTATTCCTTTTCTAGTATGCTTCTGTGAGTGTCCAGTCTTCTCCTGAAAGAGTCAGTTAAAAGTGCGGACACCATTGCTTCAGCCAGAAGGTTCCAAGTATTGATGACTCAGTGTGAAAACATGTATACCACGGGTATTTTGTTCGTTCTTGGCTTTTCTACTCGCCTGCTAAGTCTGCCTGAAGAGCACACGCGTCTGTGTCTCCAGTTATTACTCGCCAGATCTTTACATTGTCGGCGTATAATAACATTGGAGACTGTACTATACTTGGAAGATCATTAACATACATTATAAAAAGCAAAGGACCTAGAACGGAACCTTGAGGTACTCCACTAAGTACTGGTCTCCAGATGGAGCACTTGGAATTTATTCTTACTTTTTGTCTACGACCTACTAAGAAATCCTTAATCTATTTTAAAAGAGGTCCGGCAATACCAAGGTTTTCCAACTTCGATAGCAGTCTATTAGTTGGCACCTTGTCAAAAACCTTACTGAAATCTCTGTAGACAACATCCACTGAGTTTCCGTTGTCTAGTGCGTTAATCCAGAGCTCCCTAGCTATAAGGAGGTTCGTTGTACAGGATAGACCCTTTCTAAAACCATGTTGTGCCATGTTCAGCAAGTTATTGGTTTCCATAAATGCTGTTATGGTCCGTTTGATTATTCTTTCCAGTATTTTAATTACAACACTGGTGAGGCTTACGGGTCTGTAATTTGATGGAACTTGTCTTGGTCCTGTTTTATGTATGGGAGTGACGATTGCGTCCTTCCAGTCCATAGGTAACACACCTTGGTCAAGTGACATATTGAATATCACAGTCAGTGGGGCTGCGATATATTGGGCAATATGTCTCAAGATTTTGGGGTGTAATACATCTGGTCCTCTTGACTTTTCCATGTTTAAAGTGATAAGAGCCTTAAGCACATCGTCTTGGTCGAAGTTCACGGTGAGCAGGTGGTTTGTTGACTCTGTATTTTGGTCTGGTTCTTTGTCTAGAGGAGGTTCCTGATTGAAAACTGCTCCAAAATAGTCAGCCATAGCCTCTGCTTCTTCCTGATCTTCCTCTATCATTTCAGATTCATTCCCTTCTTTAATTAGGTTGGGAATCCAATAATGCATCCTTGCTATGTAGTTTATGTACGAAAACATTCTCTTGGGCTGCTTGAGTGCAGATTGTGCCAACTGCATTTCATATTTTCTTTGAGATTCCCGAATTTTCGTTATACACTTGTTTCTTACCGATCTGTAGCGTTCCATCGTACCTGCTGTGCCAAGGCGGATGGCAACATCCCAGCATTTCTTCTTTTGTCTTAGTAGACGTCGAATATCCCGCCCTATCCAGGGATGTCCGTGCTTCTTTTTCTTTGGAACTGTCCATGGTATGTATGGTTGAGTTACCCGATTGTATAACTGCCTGAAAAGAGTCCATGCCTCTTGTACTGATGCCTTTGAGTCAATTTCCCCGTTTTCAGCCGATGCTGCGGAGTTAATTGCC